TTCTTCTTCGAGAAAAAAAAAAATGCAAACGAAATGAAATAGTATTTCCCCACAAAGCCAGTATCTCATGATGTCAAGAATAACAGTGATGTACCTGTTTCAGAATAGGAACAGAAGACCACTGTTGCCTGTGTGTGATCTTTTGTGTTCTGCCTCTATCCCGTGTTCTTGTCTGTGCTGCACCTCCGTGCCACTCTCTTTAAAACCCGACAAGCAGACATGTGCCTCCTGCTCCATTCATCTTTGCCCCTTTGGCTTCTGACCCTTCTGAGCTGGCTCCCTTTACAGCCTTGCCTGGGATGCTCCTTGCCATCCCTCCTGCTCAAATCCGCATTCCTTCCAAGCTCTGCTTGACTCTCACCTGAGCAATTTAGTTCTTGAATCTTCTAAGATGGTTTTATACTTGATTGAATTCTTTTTTTTTTTTGTCCTCTCTTTCATGTGAAGCTTTCTCTTCTCTCAGAGATCTGAAGCTCTTAGACACCTACTTTAGGCCTTTTGCCATGGCGTTATGCCTCTAACTCTATATGGATCAAGTCCTTGCTGACAAGAATGCCCAGAAAGGAGAGGAGACTGCACAGGGAACCTGGTTGGATGGTCAGGCTGGTGGAATTTCTATACTTTCCCCAAATATATCCATAGGCATCTACCACTTCTCATCTGCTCCGGGGTCAGCAGAGGCCCATGGTGCACTCAGAGCGACAACGCACACACCCTAAAGTGCTGCAGTCTAGCTGGGAGGGCAGCGTGGGTATACACTGGCCATATTCCTGTTAGCCCAGAGACGGCAACAATATTAGGGGTGCTTTTGCTACTATACCCCCCAGCAGACGGGGCTGCATGCATCATGGTCAACTGGGACTTTGCAACTTTATCTCCCTGTCTAGAAGGAGCGCTCGCAAAGGCATGCGTATCTTTTTTATTTCTGGGTCTCTGGTTTCACACCTGGCAACTAGCACGTGGGGCCAATAAATACATGCAGCAGCCCCCACAACATCCGTGCTTTGTTGTCTGTGGTTTCAGGTAGCGGTGATCAACTGTGAGCTGAAGATCTGAATTGGTTACTTCTGGAATTTTCTATTTAGTAAATTTTAAGCTGAGTTGCATGATGAAATCTTGTGCCTTCCTGAGTCTTCCCAGGCTGGACAGGTACCCTTTTCCTTTGTCCAATGTATCCATATTATGTAAGACATCCCTTCATGACTCGCTAGCTCTGTTGTCACATTCTCTGTCTGGGTACCGAAGTGGTTTGGTACTGTCCACTGTGTCTGGTATCCACTGGGATGGGGTGTGCGTGTGTGTCTTAGGCTGTATCTTCTGTGGACAATGAGGGATTATAATTCCTGAGTGTGTGGAATGAGGGAATGTGTCCAGGGTCACAAGAGCACACACAGAATGAAGAGGCAATGAGGAGAACAGGGAGTAGATGGTTTTGGAGTAGGAGTGTGTGTGTGTGTGTGTGTGTGTGTGTGTGTGTGAGTGTGTTTGAAGACGAATATGCACACGCACTGTGGATTGAGCTCAGGGCATGGAGCATGTAAGCCTGTTCTCTGTCACTGAACCTCACCTCCAGCTTTGGAGCAGATTTTGGAGTCTTTGGACTTGCTGAGTATTGGGGGGAGGAAGGGAATTTCTAAACTACCGAGGCAGCGATGGAAGCTCTGTGCATGGTAAAAAACAACAAAACAACAACAACAAAAACCCCGTCTGACATGGACTGGCTTATGAAGGGATAGGGTGAAGGGGAGATTGAGTAAAATGAATCTCCGCCTTGGACAGCACAAGCTGCCACGGGTTCTGCAGGTCGACTGAAGATGGCATTGATCCGACACTTCTGTGCATCTTTCTCTTTTGGCTAAATCCCCAAATCTGGCTTCTCATTGCTGCTTGCAGACCCACCAAGGTGAAAACTTACTACCTTTAAGAATCTCCTGAGGGTCTTGAAGAGCATGCAGCTCTCAACTTCCTGAGCGTGGCATGAGGCTATGGCTCTTCTCTCCTAACTAGTTCCCAAGTGGAGCCGGAGAGGCCAGCGGGGGACCACACGCTAAGAAATTAGCCTCTCACGTGAAAGCCTGTAGCCTGGACTACGCAGTTTAAAGGCAGAAGGAAATTGCCTTCGTTCGGATTATTTCTAACCCGACTTCTCCCAGCAGGGCAGGTAATTGAATGCTGTCCAGTCAAATCTTCAGTGATAAACGGCACCTGGCAGGAATGCCAAAACCACAGGGCTTCACTTCCAAAAACGTCCATCTTTGATTACCCGTGTCATCAGGCTGCAAAACACCTCTGAGTTTCTGCTTCCTGGTCTCCCATTGGCTCCTAGGGGAGGTTTGTCCCCCTTGCAACAGATGCTTCCTGGGGCCCCACTGGGCTATGGGAGGCTCACTTAGCCCCTATCTCCTTCTCCTCGGCCCCTGATTTGGCTGCTATTGGCCCTTGATCCTGGAGGTCTGAGCTGGACCAAAGCTCTTTGAAGTCTGAATACTTGGTGACTTTTAGCCAAATTCTAGGGAGAAGCAGAGAAATTTAGAATTATTTCTTGCTTCAGTTGACTATTAAATAGAAGCTTCCAGACATAGCATGAGGTCAAGTGAGATAGGAAAGCAATTTCCTTCCGTTTCTGGGCCTCACAAGGCACCATAGGCTGCATTAAGAAAAAAAGGAGGAGGCCGGCTACATCAAACTAAAAATTTCTGGCAAGCGGATCTAGGCTGAAAAGTGTCTGCAGCAACCTGGTTGGTACTGCAGACCGGGACTTGGCTGGATGGGCCTGAGCAGAGCGGGAGACCTGAGTGGTGCCAGTCTAGCCCTCTGGGCACACACCTGTGAGCTGTGCACCATGGAGAGGCCTCGAAGCCCTAGGGTGATAGGCTGGGCACTGGAGGAGAACTGGGGACAGAGGGTCTGTGCACCATCAGCACCTGTCATTCCTCTGCCATCTCACAGCCCTGCCTTGAAGCAACATTTGGCTTTGGTTCATATGACCCTAGGACAGCTTCAGAGACCTGGCTGGGCTTCACTCCCTTTTCTCTGGTTCTTCTATAAATACATTCATTTCTCCAGTCCTGTCCCTGGGTGGTCAGGCACCTCCTGGTTAGTGACTATCAGGCTTCAGCTATGCACAGAGCCTACTCCTTGACTGCATCACCTTCAGGAGGGCTCGGTGTCCCCTTGCCCAGTGATAAACCATGTGGAATCCTGAGGTGGATCAGCACCCTGAACAATCTCACGTAAACCAGACAATCGATTTGTGATCCCTCCTTGTTCATAGATATATGCATGCAATTGCTGGGTTAGGACCTGCAGTACGCTTGACTCTGTTCACTTCTTTGCTTAGGGCCACTTCTACCCCAAGTTCTCCTACTTGTGAAAAGCCTGTAGTTTTCCCCTCCTCTGAAACAACAACTTTCAAACATACAGCGAAGCCAAAATAATGTACCTCCAACATCACCAAACATGTTTCGGCCTCTGGTGATGCCCAGACCTGTTCTCTCATCTGTGCTCTTCATGGAATATTTAAGAGTCTATTCCAGCTAGTATCTCATTTCACTTGTAACTGTATCTCTAACAGATAAGCACGTTACAAAGGAAACCATGATTTTCTTTTGTTTAGAAAGGGGAGCTGAGGTTCAAGGCAAGGTTTATCTGTGTAGCCTTGACTGTCCTGGAACTTACTCTATAGACCAGGCTGGCCTCAAACTCATAGATCCACCTGCCTCTGCCTCGTGAGTGCTGGGATTAAAGACGTGCGCCACCACTGCCTGGCAAAACCACGATACCGCGATTTTTATGACACCTGATAGCATTAGACGTCATTTGTTGGACTGGAGAGATGGCTCAGTGGTTAAGAGCACTGGCTGCTCTTCCAGAAGTCCTGAGTTCAATTCTCATGCAATCTCATAGTGGCTGAAAACCATCTATAGTAGGATCTGATGCCCTCTTCTGTCATAAAGGTGTGCATGAAGATAGATAACAAATTTTTTTTAAAAAGAAATTATTTGTTGATACAATCAATGTGCAATTTATATTTACTGCCCTTGTTGTCTCAAAAATATTCCTTTCCCATAGATTAGTTTGAGTCAAGGTCACTCAAGGGTTCACGTCCTATTCCCTTGTTAATCTCTTAGGTGTCTGTGCATGAGCCTTCTTTGATATGTTCTGTTTGCTGCTGAAATGCTAGAGCAACGAGAAAGTTCTACTTCTTGAGAGCCTCCTGCTCGCTTCCCTGAACCCTGCCCAAATAACACAAAACAATTCTTTCCTAGAGGGTGTACGTGTGTGTTTGTGTGTGTGTGTGTACGTGTGTGTGTGAGAGAGAGACAGAGAGAGAGAGGCAGAGAGAGAGAGAGAGACAGAGAGAGCTTGTGAGCACACAGGTGCCACTGCAGGTGTATTGAGGTCAGAGGGCACTTGCAGCTCTCTCCTTCTACCAGGTGCATTCCAGAGGAGCCAGTTTGGGTCATCAGGCTTGGCCTGGCTGCAAGCACCTTCAGCCTCTGAATCATCTCCCTGGCCTTGGGGTGTTTCTAAGTGATAAAAAGGACTTCCTTACAGCCCTTTGAAATAGGTGGATGGTTCCAACAGTCTTCCTTCCTTTCATTTTATTCTCTTCCCTCCCTCCTTCCCTCCCTCCCTCCCTCCCTCCCTGCTCTCCTTCTCTTGAAAGAGTCTTGCTCTGAAGCCTAGGCTAGCTTCGAACTCAGGGCAACCCTGTCTCTGCTTCCCTGCTGCTAGGATTACAGGCATGTACCATCTCACCTAGATTTCTCTCACAAATTTCAAAACCTAAAAATCATTTCAAGTGCTGTAGAAAGGCAAGGTCTGATTTAGTTCTTAGTTTGGAGGGTAAAAATTTCTGGCAACTGAATTTCTTCCAGGAATATCTTTTTTATGCCCTCCCACCTGCGTTTTAAAATCCACCAACCACAATATTTACTCCAGTCCCCTTTTTTCTCCCTTTCCCTTACACACCACCCCCCTCTCTTTTTAGCAGCCACACACAAGTCGGCCATATTAGAGAGATGGAAATAAAGCTTCCTTAATGTTGTATATGTCTTTGAAGTACATCCGTGCATTTTCTTTCTTAGCTTCTAACCATTCCTCCCTTGTGGTCCTTGGTCTCTCAATCACCCTCTCCCATAGCCCACCCGCCTAACATCACAGTCTCTGAAAATGCACAGGGATGCCTGGCTACCTCGCCCTGCCTTCAGTCTCACGGGGCTCAGTCTGTTTTTCACTTTGGGTAAGTTAGAACCACATCTGCATGCTCGTAAGGGTCAGAAGCGCAGCAGCTGCAGCTGAAAGAGGAGGGGGCAGGGGGCAGGAGGGAAGGAGGAGTGTGAGCGTTTCCCTCTGTGTCCTTGGGACCAGGCGTGCTGGGGACCTGGGACTTAGCTGGGATTCAGGATGCTGGGCTACTCGGTCACAGAAATGTTGACTAGCGGATGATTGTTGCTTGGGGATGGAAATGGTCAAAATAATCAGGAGGTGTTTTTTCCTTCGGATTTCCCCCTAAGTGGACCTGTGTGGGGGTGGGGCAGAGTTAGGCTGTTCTGCATTCTATTTGGGGATTTTCCTCTTCGTTTTGTTATTATTATTCATTATTAGCATAATTTTCATTTTCAGCTATGTCTGATGAGAGCTCTTAGGAGTTGCTGGTTTATTTAAAACGTCTCTTTTGTGAGCCTTGTTCCCTGGAGTCCGGTGGATTTAAAGGGTTAGGAGAGTGTCTTCTGGAGAGTTGGGGGCAGAAAGTTGGGTCTGTCCCACCAGTTTGTTGGGATGTGTGTGGGAGGAATTGAGGGTGAGGCATGAGGATGGGCTTCAGGATGGGGGAGAGACGCCAGAAAAGCTGCAGTTGGGGCAGGCACCCCGGGCATGAACCGGATGGAACAGAGGAGAGGTCAGGTGTCCAGGATCCAGGAAAAAGGAGACTAATAGAAATGGAGCCTATGGATGAACAAGGTGTGGTACTTCAACACCAGTCTCAGAACAGAGACCCCTTATCATATGGCCTTAAAGTCAGTTTCATATTTGAACACCCAGAGACTTCATACTAGGCAGGCAGGTGGGCTAGGCTATTTGTAACCCCCCCCCCATGAGAAAAGTTCTCACCATGTAGCCCTGGCTGTCCTCCTCTTGATCTTTCGGTGATTCTCCTGCTTCTGTCTCCTCCTGGGTGCTAGGAGTATAGACAAGTGCCACCATGCTGGGCTCTAAACCTGCTTTTTTTTTTTTTTTTTTTTTTTAGGTTTTTGTTTCGTTTTATTTTTTGGTTTTTAAGGCAGGGTTTCTCTGTACAGCTCTGGCCGTTCTGAAACTTGCTCTGTAGACCAGGCTGGCCTTGTACTTACAAAGTTCCGCTTGCCTCTGCCTCCTGAGTGCTGGGATTAAAGGTGTGCACCACTACCACCTGACTTAAACCTGCCTTATGGACAGTTTTATTCTTATTCTTAAAATTCCATGAGAAGGGGCTGGAGAGATGGCTCAGAGGTTAAGAGCACTGACTGCTCTTTCAGAGGTCCGGAGTTCAATTCCCAGCAACCACATGGTGGTTACATACAACCACCTGTAATTCGATTAGGTTCCCTCTTCTGGCATTCAGACAGAACACTGTATACATAACAAATAAATTAAAAAGAAAAAAGAAACAACACCTATAAAATTTCCTCAGCAGTGCCTGAGGGTCCAGTCCAAAGATTGTAGGTGGACATCTTCCCTATTACAAATGTCTCTCTGGTAGCCTGCAAGATAAGGATCTAACATCTTCCTTCCTGTGAAGCTGGACCTAAGTTTAAAGTTATCTTTGTTCTTTGCTTCACAACCATGGGCAAGATGTTACCCACCCTGAACATCACTGTCCTGTGGAGACTGTTTCATGCTTGGTGAGCTTGTGACCTGACACATAGCAGGGTCCCACAGTGACAGATCTTTCTGGATGCTTCCCCTGAGCCATGGCATGATGTGTTGTCTTTAGCTCTCAAGCAGTTATCTGAGGTAGACGCTATGATTCTATTCATGTTCCAAGGCGGAAACAGAGGCAAGGGGAAGTTAAGTAACTCATCCAATCAGGTCATGTGACTGGCATAAGGGAGCTGAGATTTGAACGCCCACATGACTGACCTAGCACATTCTCTTTAACACTGAGTTCTACTGCCCCCAACCTTAAGGAAACGATGCTGCTCTGTTAGCATTAATTGGTAGAAGAATCTCAAGTGCAGGCTAAAAGAGGTGGGGAAGTGAGCAGTACACACACACACACACACACACACAGCCACAGCTGGAGGCCAAGGTCTCCTCTCAGGAGTTAGCCTCCTGCTAGATGGAGTCTGTCTACCACAGCCATACCTAAGTCAATGAGGCCAGGGGCCCTGGCAACAGCACCAGCTGACCTGGGCTTGAGGGAAATGCATGGATGAAGGGGTCTGTGCACCAGGGCTGTGGGAAGAGTGGGTATTTCAACAGGCCTATGAGAGTAGAGACCTTGATCTTGAAGCTGCGGGGAGGCATACCTCTGCCAGATCATACTCTGGGCAATGGAACTTGGGTGGCTGTGGTAGCACGGATTACCGGATTACCGGGATGGAGGGATGTCACGGATGTTAGGAAAGGCGATGCATCAGAGGAGGGACATGCGGGGATGACTGTAAAGGTGGCAAGCAGCTTTCTCATGACAGAAGTTCACAGTGTTTCTCATCAGTTGCTGGCCTGGCAATCAAAAAGTCTGGGTTATATTAGAGGGAGCGTAGAGAGGGGAGTGTGGTCCTTACTCAGTCTGCCCACACATATTTGCAGCTAAAGGTGGGACCTAGGTGTGGAGGCGAATTCCTCTTTCCTACCCCCAGCCCCAGCAACAACATTTAACTGAGCACTCATTGTGTGCTATATGCCTTTCTCGGTGCAGGGATGCCAACAGGAGTAAGGGGTTGCCCAGGGCCTCTTGAGAGACACAGCCACACAAATAACAGCAACTCAGCATTGCATGTGTTGGAAGAGTGTCAGGTCTAATGATAGTGCCAGGAGTCACCTCTCGCTAACGGCTGTGTACCGGGCGGGCGCTGTGCTGAGCTTTGCTCATAGAGCACGTCAGAACTGTCACAGTAGCTTCAGTAGTGTTGGAATCCCCTGTATTACAGACGAGGACATTGCAGCACTGGAAGGTTGATGGTCTTGCCTAAGCTCATATCAAGATCTTTAGAGTCCCAGTCTTGATCACTCTGCCGCTCGGCCTCTAAGGCAGTGGAAGAAATAGGAACCTGGCTGGGGAGAGAACCAGACACCGGGGAGGATGTCACGCAAGCTGGGCCTTATGAACGGGGCTTGGGGTTTATGTGGAAGAACTCCAGGGAGGAGGATGGACAAACTTCCCATCCTAAAGCAAAAATGTGGACAAGGGCCTTGTGGAGGGGAAGGAAGAGGAAAATCAGAGTGTTGGGGTCACTGGGTCACGTGGAGGGAGGGGATCTGGCAGAAGAGGTAGCTGCAGTGTGCAGCTGGGGCCATCTGGAAGCTGCACCCCATGCCAGAACTCAGCCCTAAAAGCAGCAGGAGGTAGGGAACATGAGTACAGCTGATGCTGGCTGCCCGGGGACCTGGGCAGGAGAGTGAGCACAAAGGCTGGTGAGGAAGTGGGGTTCATGTCACATTTGTCTGGGAGGCAGGGGCTGCCCCACAGAACAATTCCTCCTCCTCCTCCTCCTCTTCCTCCTCCTCCTCCTCCTCCTCCTCCTCCTCCTCCTCCTCCTCCTCCTTTCTTCTTTGCTCCCTCCTCTCCTATTCTCCTTCCTTCCCTTTTCCTTTTTTTCTCCTCAAGAATAAAACTTATAGACTGCTTTAGGGCTAGAAGGAGGAGTAATGGGAATTTACTTCCAGATTTTAGAAGTAACGGTGTTTGGCAGAAGAGCCCAGTTTCAGGGTCTCTGCAGGATGGGCCAGGGAGGACAGTTGATGGTCAGGGCCTGAAGGACCCAGCTGGGTCAGTCCTGGGTTGTCATACCATTATACATCCCTTTTCCCATCACCTTCTTTTTGTGAGTTGGTAATCACAAGACCTAGACCTCAGACCTGGTCCCAAATAGGAATTAGGAAAGTCTTGGATTCCCACTGTGGAGTGAGTTCCTTAATCGAACACCGTCTGCTACACATTAGGACGACTTGGAATGACAATAACATCCCCAGCCAGCTCGACTCCGCACCTCAGCCCTTTCTGGAACCAGGTAGCGTGGATTCAGATTCTAGTTTCATAACCTCCTGGCAGTGAACTAGGGCTAGCCGCTTGATTTCTCTGTGCCCCACTTCTTCATCTGAAAGCGACCGGCAATAGATAAACGCTTGCCGGTTATGGCGTACTCGGCCAGGTAGCTATGGAAAACCGAGCCGGCGGCAGCGCTGAAGGCGCTTATGATGGAAGGGCCTTTCAGTGGGCCTGGATCCGTCTACTTTCCAGAAGCACTGGGCTTTACTGAGCTCTGACCTTGCCCAAAGCTTTCCTGAACATAATGAGAGCCTAAACTGATGGGAGATTGGAACCTCTGAGAGTCTGATGAGGTCTTGGGCTGAATCTTGGATCAGAAGGTGAGAGTCATCTTCCTAGCTCCAGCTTGTCCCTGTTCTCAGAGTGTCTCGTTGTCCCCTGTCCTCAAAGTAAAAGGACTGCAGTTCATCTACAACCCTGGAGGTTCCCCTAGTTCCGACTTTCTTTAGTTTGGGGCCGGCTCCGGGGTTTCTTCTCTGCTGGTGGGACTCGATAATTGACCTTTCCGGCCACTAGAGGGCACACGAATTCCATCTCGTGCCTCTTGCAGGGCACATGCAGGGGGAATCCGCATTGCACCTTTCTCTGTCTCCAGGCACCAGCCTGGAAAACGCCTCTGACTCCCTATAACTTTGCCGCCTGCCATAGTGGCATGGTGGCTTCTTCTAGATGAGACGATGAAGGGATATGTCAATCAGACATTCAAGTTCAACTGCTAGGGCGAGACAGGTTGGAGAGGGCGGACTTTGCCGAGCTAGTTCGTTTCAGCGCCTTTGAGGGGGACGGGAAGCCCTTTTCGAGGAAGGGACCGGAGAGGTTGGGATGTCCAGCATTGGAGGCAAACTCAGGACAAACCTCCATTAGTTCTTCCCCTCAGATTTCCCAGCCTCTGCAGAGTCGGGGCGGTGTTAATATTTTCTGCACACCTCCTCCTCGCCTGGCACCGAGCCAGGTACTTTTAGGCTGGATATGAAAGTGCAAGAGCCGCGGGAGCGGGGCTCCGTCCCTCCTGGGAGGGACCCCATTAGCCTCCCCAGCTTCCGTTCCTCTTGTGAGCACTTCCATGCTCAGCTAGAGTCATTGGCCCTGCAGGTGAGGTCCATAGGTCTACCCTCGTCCGGGCTTTGGAGGAACCGTCCCAGCCAGCAGTCCAGAACCTCCTGTCCTTAAGTTCTGAGCTTTGCGGGGTTGGCCTGAGCAAGCAGAAGAACGCTCTGGGCAGGCTTAGCTTCACAGCCTGAGGGCTGCGGTACTTGTGTCTGGGAATGAGGCCTGGTTCCTTAGCTAGATCTGAAATTCAAGGGAGTCTGTCTGTAGGTTTACTCTGAGGTCTAGAGATCTCTCCCCCACCCGCCATGCCCTGCTCTCTTTCTGTTCCCCAAACGGAACTTAAGGAGAATGAGGTTAATAGCAGCCGCCATTTGCTGAGCCACCAGGCAACAGTGTCCGGAGTTAGGTTTTATGGAGGAGGGGGCTGAGACATGGGGAGGTGAAGGAGTCTGCCTACATTTCTTAGAGTTGATTGAGGCTAGAGCTGGAATAGAATCCAAGTGGGACCAAGGTGTGTGTGTGGGAGGACATGCTTCTGCCTGAATCTGTAGCTGTAAATTTCACTCAGCTGGCATCTCAGCTGGCCACACCCACCCTTAAACTCCCCAGAATCATCCCAACTCCTGTGTTTTGGCCCCCTGACTGGGTCCTCGCCCAACTCTGATGTCAGATTTTACCATGCCCTGACTTGTTTTGTCTCAGATGTGTGAAGAAGGTCCATCCCCGCCACGAGGATGTGGCCCTTGATAGTCCCAAAGGGCTCGTTCCTTCTCTTGCTTTAGAGGCTTCCTGAATTTCACTTTCTCGGGGCCTTGTTCCCTGAACTCCCTGAATAAAACAACTGCCCTCTGCCATATGTTAGTCCGTACAGTCCACGTCATGTAATGCTCCAGACAACCACATTCCTATTTTTTGTTGTTATATGCCCCCTCACCAGAATACAAGTCCCACAGTGTAGTGACTCTGCTTCCTAGTAGCAACTGCCAGGGCCTGAGACTGTACACCCGGCATACAGTAGATTTGCTAGCACGAATGAAGGCTGGGAATGTGGCTCAGTCGGGAAAGTGCCTGCCGACCACACATGAAGTCTTGTATTTGATCTCCAGCAGGAAATAAACTGGGTGGGATGGCACACCCCTGGAATGCAAGCACTCAGGAACTGAGGTAGGTAAGTCAGAAGTTCAATGCCATCCTTAGCTACAGAGCTAGTTCCAGGACAGCCTGGACTATAAGAGGTGCCACACACACCCCAACCCTGCAAAACAAAACAAAACAAAACAAAAACAAAAACCACAAAAAACCCACAAAAACAAAAAAAACAACAAAAAAGCAAAGCAACACAACAATAACAACAAATCCAGAACAAAAAAAAACCAACACACACAAAAAAAATGACGAAATCAGAAATGAACATGACTGAGGGAGTGATGGTGATTGCCACTGCTGGGTCTGCCTCTGAGCAACTCCCAGCCCTGTTAATACTAAATTAATTTTTCAGAGTGAAGTTTTAACAGTCTTGGATAAGGATCTTGGAATTAAGGTCAGGGCTAATCTGAAGCAGCCTGGGTCCACCTGAGGAGGTATTTTCAGCCCGCGAAAATACAAGTCTCTGTGACTGCTGGGCCCTAGGCAGCTCACCTGTCTTCCTTAAGCTCTGCTCTGCTTAGAGTACCCTACCTAGTGGCACTTTTCTGACTAGCAGCACCCAGGCCCTGACCTGAGTCCGGTGCCTCAGACAGGACCTCAAAGAAATTTCTGTTTTTACCCTGACACCTGCCAACTTGAACTGGCTTTTTGCTGTCATGTGTCCAGGCCGACATTTTACAAAGGCGAGCTCATCCCCTAGGCCAATCAGCAGGTCCTTAGAGTGACACCTCTTCTCCTGGGACTCCTTGTCCTTCCTGTGTGCCCTCTTTCTTGTCTGAGAGAGCCTGGGGATGACCAGACGCCTGTGCTGGGCTAGGCGAGAGGGAGGCTTTCCCAGCCTTCACCACGCTTTAGCTGCCTGCCCCACAGGGACAATGATGCTTCCCCTGGCAGAGGGGCTCTAGCACAGTCAAGATGACCAGAAGTATCTGGAGAACAAGGGGAAACCAAGGCGAGCCCAGTGAAGCCTCTTATTTGGCAGGGAAATGGCATTAGGGAAGGTAGAGGCAAGTAGGGAGTCTGCTTAGAAAAGGTTGAGGCCATTTGGCTGTCCACAACCTGGTAGAGTATTCGATGGCTTTCCTCTGCCCGTGTTCTGCCCCCTCCTCCTGATGACCACATCTGGTGCCCCTCATGGGCTTTGCCTTCCCAACAGCAGCTGTCCGCCCAGCCAGTGCCCCCTAACGCCACTGTTCTGCCCCTCTCCATCTACCCCCCACGGATTATAGAGGGGCGGCAACCCTCCAGCCCAGTCTCCCAGCATCCTCACGAGATTATGGTTTTGTCTGCAGTACCCCCAGGACGGAGCATGGAAGTCACAGTCCCCACCACTCTCAGTGTCCTCAATGGGTCCGACACCCGCCTGCCCTGTACCTTCAACTCCTGCTACACCGTGAACCACAAGCAGTTCTCTCTAAACTGGACTTACCAGGAATGTAGCAATTGCTCAGAGGAGATGGTAAGTCCCAGTGGAGGAGGAAGTGTGTGTGGGGGGAAGCAAAAGCCCTGAAAGCATAAAGCCCAACACTCCCATCCCTACATCTGCCCTAGACCAGGGCCTCAGAGGACTCTGGGTAGGATGTCTGACACAGAGGGCATGATGTCACCACAACTGAATGGCCCTTTTGAGGCTAAACCCCCTTTCTTCATGGGAGTCGGATGTGTCCCTATGATCCTCACAGCTCCTTGCTCAATCATCTGCCCCTGCTATTCCCCCCACCCCACCCCCCGACACCCCAGTTCCTCCAGTTCCGAATGAAGATCATTAACCTGAAGCTGGAGCGGTTTGGAGACCGTGTAGAGTTCTCCGGGAACCCAAGTAAGTATGACGTGTCGGTGACCCTGAAAAACGTGCAGCTGGAAGACGAAGGCATCTACAACTGCTATATCACCAACCCACCGGACCGCCACCGTGGCCATGGCAAGATCTACCTGCAGGTCCTTCTGGAAGGTAAGGGGGGCTGGGCTGCTGAAAGACACTGACCCTTCTCCCCAGCTTCGGCACTTCAGGGAGAGACTGGCAGCCTGTCTCATCTCCAGGTGCTTGTGCTGGTGGAAGGCCTCCAAGCCTTCTCTCTGGCCTTGAGGGAACAAGCCAACCACAATCATAGCCCTTAGCAATAACAGCAGCTTTTGTAGGCTTGGCCTCTTTTCCTCCACAAAACCCATGGAGACTGGAGCTATTATGCCCATTGTATGGACGAGGAAACTGGGGTTCGAGCATATCATACAATCCCTAACTCCTACAATCAAATTTGGGTCTGATCTCAAAGTCCACAATCCTGAATACTCCACTCTGGGGCTGGAGGTGCTCATTGAGGAAGCTTGGTGGTAGGGATGTTTAGCCGTCAGTGGTCTAGGTTGCTTTGATTTTGATTAATGCCCTGTCCGTGAAGATGAGTCAAATCAGAGTCCCTCATATTTTGGGGAGCAGGGGAGACAGGACATCTTCTCCCCAGCTCTACGGCTCTACTTCTTTTCCTCAGTGCCCCCAGAGCGGGACTCCACGGTGGCGGTCATTGTGGGTGCCTCAGTGGGGGGCTTCTTGGCTGTGGTCATCTTGGTGCTGATGGTGGTCAAGTGCGTGAGGAGGAAAAAGGAGCAGAAGCTGAGCACGGATGACCTGAAGACTGAGGAGGAGGGCAAGACGGACGGTGAGGGCAACATGGAAGACGGTGCCAAGTAACCGCAGCCCGCCCCGACGCCCCTCCCTGTGTCCTGTGTCCTCTCACTCTCTGCCCTGTACAGTGTGACCCTGCCTGCTCTCTCTTGGTGTGCTTCTCTCAAACAGGACCCCAGATCGACCTGGGGCCTCACTTCCCATCCCCCCACCACCCATACCAAGGGTGACCTCCCTCCCTTTCATCCAAAAACTGCCTTGGTGTCTGAGATATGCAAGCCCTGGGGAAGCAGAGAAGGGTTCTAGCCTGTCAGTCTTTGCAGAAGAAAGACTATGTGTGTGGTCCCAAAGATGGGAAGGGGCAGGAGGGCAGTGGGAGAAGAGGCTGGTTGCTCATCTTGTCTACGGTTTGGTCTGATGATGGTTTAAACTGTGGGGGCAGCAGTGTGTATGTATGCGGGGAGGGTGTTCTGTGCTGACCAGAGGCACCATGGGAATGACTCATGGTGACTTTGCTGTGTTCCTCTGGCTACTCCCAGCACAGAACAACCATCAGGCTGGGGATGAAGGTGGGGTCCTGCCATTTGTGGGGCGCATTTTTAAAAATGTATTTAAAGTCAAATGCATTTCGAGGGCTCTCAAGGAAAGCTGGGGCTGGGGCATTCCTGGACACGAGCCTTGACCCAGAGAACTTGGCTCTGGCCTCATTTCCATCACTAGCTGTTCCCAGGGAGACTCTGGTTCTTTGTTGACTACCGCTCTCTTGGGGATGCTGCAGAAGCATTGCTGAAAAAGCAGCATCAGGCAGGATCATGCCCCACCCTAGGGACCCCCAGCAGGATCATGCCCCACCCTAGGGACCCCCAGCAGGATCATGCCCCACCCTAGGGACCCCCAGCAGGATCATGCCCCACCCTAGTGACCTTCAGCAGGATCATGCCCCACCCTAGGAACCCCCAGCAGGATCATACCTCACCCTAGGGACCCCCAGCAGGATCATACCCCACCCTAGGGACCCCCCAGCAGGATCATGCCCCACCCTAGTGACCTTCAGCAGGATCATGCCCCACCCTAGGGACCCCCAGCAGGATCATACCTCACCCTAGGGACCCCCAGCAGCATCATGCCCCACCCTAGGGACCCCCAGCAGGATCATGCCCTACCTTAGGGACCCCCAGCAGGATCATGCCCCACCCTAGGGACCCCCAGCAGGATCATGCCCCACCCTAGTGACCTTCAGCAGGATCATGCCCCACCCTAGGAACCCCCAGCAGGATCATACCTCACCCTAGGGACCCCCAGCAGGATCATACCCCACCCTAGGGACCCCCCAGCAGGATCATGCCCCACCCTAGTGACCTTCAGCAGGATCATGCCCCACCCTAGGGACCCCCAGCAGGATCATACCTCACCCTAGGGACCCCCAGCAGCATCATGCCCCACCCTAGGGACCCCCAGCAGGATCATGCCCTACCTTAGGGACCCCCAGCAGGATCATGCCCCACCCTAGGGACCCCCAGCAGGATCATGCCCCACCCTAGGGACCCTCAGCAGGATTATACCCCACCCTAGGGACCCCCCAGCAGGATCATGCCCCACCCTAGGGACCCCCAGCAGGATCATACCTCACCCTAGGGACCCCCAGCAGGATCATACCCCACCCTAGGGACCCCCCAGCAGGATCATGCCCCACCCTAGGGACCCCCAGCAGGATCATACCTCACCCTAGGGACCCCCAGAAGGATCATACCCCACCCTAGGGACCCCCCAGCAGGATCATGCCCCACCCTAGTGACCTTCAGCAGGATCATGCCCCACCCTAGGGACCCCCAGCAGGATCATACCTCACCCTAGGGACCCCCAGCAGCATCATGCCCCACCCTAGGGACCCCTAGCAGGATCATGCCCTACCTTAGGGACCCCCCAGCAGGATCATGCCCCACCCTAGGGACCCCCAGCAGGATCATGCCCCACCCTAGGGACCCCCAGCAGGATTATACCCACCCTAGGACCCCCAGCAGGATCATGCCCCACCCTAGGGACCCCCAGCAGGATTATACCCACCCTAGGGACCCCCAGCAGGATTATGCCCTACCCTAAGGACCCCCCAGCAGGATCATGTCCCATCCTAGGGACCCCTTAGCAGGATCATGCCCCCACCTTAGAGATCCCACAGAAGAATCATGCCCCACCCTAGGGACCCCCCAGCTGGATCATGCCCTACCTTAGGGACCTCCAGCAGGATCATGTACCATCCTAGGGACTCCCCCATCAGGATCATACCCCCCCTACTGATCCCCCAGCAGAATCACGCCCCACCCTAGGGACCCTCAGCAGGAGACCTTTGTTGGAATCTGCTAGGGGACCAAGGGGTGCTGGCTTCATTACAAACACGTTTAGCTGCCTTCTCAATCAAGATGATCACCTAGGTCTCAGCCACTAGCAGCCAAGGCTCAGAACTCGTGTGTGTGTGTGTGTGTATGTGTGTGTGTGTGTGTGTGTGTGTGTGTGTGTGTGTGTGTAGTGTGTGTATAGAGAGCAACTTCCTGCAGGGCTTCAGTTGGGGGTTTCTAGTTGCCTTTGGCAGGGTTTCCATCTGGTTTTTGGCAAGAGGAAAGAGAAGGCTGGAGGGCAATGTGAGAGGACTCCATAGAGCCTCTGAGCACTCACTGCCCCAGAACTCCCTTTGCAGGGGAGAGAGCTGCTCTGTGCGAAGCCAACTTTCACTGCCGTTTTACTATCATCATAAGGAACTTGTCTAAGTCTAGAGCCGGGGAGAAAGGCGGGGTAGAAACCGCTCACTGGAGAGCATGGTGTTGGGAGATGCCCAGAGCCTCCTACAGATCAGGAGACTGAAGTGGCCAACAGAAGCTGAAGGAAGGTCTTGCCCAATTCTGGCTCCCTGGTCCCCACTTAGAACAAACAGAGCTTCCTGGTGGGAGGACCTCAAGTCTAGAAGGTGTTTGTGTGTGGTGGTGGTGGGGTTCATCTAGCCCTGCTCCCCTCCCAGGAATTCAGCCCCTATAAGCTCAGGGAGTTAGCTGTCCAGGGTAAGGAGTGAGTGTGGTGGATACAGGACCATGACAGTCTCAGGGACCAATCCTTGCCTCTGCTTATCAGATAGCCAACTAGAAGAGACAATGAGAGCAGATGGGAGGTTCCCTTTAATTCACTTCCATTCAACAACCATTTCTTGAGCGTCTGCTCTATGCCAGGCACTGTGCTGGGTGCCAGGAGAATTACAAAGCCATAACAGGGTTAGGGACTGCCAGATCTGCATGGTAGGACCAAGATTAACATTTTGGTGCATCTACTTTCGCCTCCGTAGCCACTGATTCCACAAGAGAGTCAGGGGAGAAGGAAGAAGGCTTTCAAATGTGGAGCTTGGGAAAGTAAGAGGGTAAGGGAAGAGGGAAGGTACCACTGGGAGGGGTCAGGGAGGTTGAGCATGGTTAACCAACCAGAGAACTCCCAGTAAGGTGAATCTAGCCCTTCTGAAAGTTCTACACTCTTTGGCTCAGTACCTAACTGTCAGGCAACATACCACCAAAGGGAATAGGCTAAGCCACCAGAATGCCTGGAGCAGGTAGGCACTGCTTATCCTTCAAGCCAGCCAGCTAAGGGTGGAGAGATGAGTGGTGGGCACTTCAAAGCAGCTGGAACCAGAGGTGGTGGTATATACTTCGCCCGCTTGGAATAGTGAGTTCTCATCACCTTGCACATGCCCTCTTCTCTCAGGATGCACTGACTTTGCTCACACTAGGTGGGCTACTTGTGAGATCCCCTGAGGGTTGTTTTAAAGAAGGTCTGTCTCTTTAAGAAGCTGGAGTCTCTTGGGGTCTTTTTCTTTTCTGCCCAGATGGAGTGGGGTCCAGGGAGAGCAAGGGAGAACAATGCTGTCTCTGGACCCCACAGGCTGCGCCAGGAGCTGTTTCTGCCCTAGGTGCTTGCCCTCTTGTTCACTTTCTTCTGGAGCGGCTTTAGACCCTCCTCTAGGGCCTCTGGGCTGTGAGGTTGGGAACAAAGCCAGGCTTCTGTGAGGTGAGGTGGGAAACCGTGAGATGTTTCCACCGGAGCCTTACTCAACCTTGCTTCCCAGCTTACGCCTGCAAACTGCTCTCTCGCTGCTGCGTGGGCTTTGGGCTCCACTGCTGGCTGCATGCTCCCACCACTGTGTTCTCAATCACTCCTGCCTTTCCTGCCCTCCCCGAACCCCCGCCACACATCCCATCTGCCTCTTCCTCCTAATTAAGGGCCACTGCAAAGAAAGATGGGCTGGCTAACCCATGGGATTTAGCTTATGAGAACAAAGCACAATTTTTCAGGACTGAAAATGCCTTGAGGTGCCTTGGAACTGGCTTTGGAAATAGCTCTCTGCCCCTCCAGCGATGAACTCATCAGTTATTCCCAGTTTATAAAAAAGGAAAAGCTGATTGGGTCCACGTTTGCCTGCGAGTCTCCTTGGGAAAGTTGGGCTGCTAAATATTTACAAGATCAGGTAAAGGAGGCAGACAGGTGGAAATACCGGCCAGGTCCAAAGAAGTTAGTCCCAGGTCATAGGAATGGCTTGGTGCAGTTGGAACGGGTGATAAACCAAGAAAACTTTCTTCCTACATATGTCTTAAGGATAGACGGCCTTGCTGTGCCTCTTGCTGATGTCTTCCTTTATTGACGCTTGCTGATGTGACTGTACATAGCCTTTCTATATAGGTATAGATATATTATATATGCATATATAAAACATCTCACTATGCCCACCCCAAAAGTTACACTGTTGGGGCCAGGGCATAACCACGTCTCAGTGTTTCCTAGTAGATTCACCAAAGGTTCCTTATGGAATGTTCTTCATGCTTTGGGGGAGAGCCCAGCTGCATAGCAAGCGCTTATGCATGTCTAGGTTCTACATGCTGTTTGGCGGTTGGAAGGAGTGGTTGGGAGGGGAGAGAAGCTTAAACAAATGGTCTTCTGAGACCTGACTGCTGGGAGCAGGCTGAGTTTCTTTAGTGGTTTGTATGGTTGCTTGGATCTGTTGGCTGCAATAAACACACTGTCTCCCCTGAATATCTCTCTAGTGTGGTGTGTTTTGTTTTGTTTGTTTGTTTGTTTTCCAGGGTAGGGGTAGGAGGAGACTGGGGGAGGGGAAGGTTTTTCTGGGAGTCTGATGGGAAGCCCTGATGCCCTTTCACTGCCCGGACACCATGCATCCTGCTGAATCTGAGGGCCTCAAAATCACCCACATTGCAAAAAAAAAAATAAATAAATAAATAAAAAAATAAAAAAAAAATGGAGCATCCGCTTACGGTTACTTCTGGGATGAAGATGACCCTTACGCACCCAAGGCTGGCTGCTCTGCCGATGCCGCCTGCTCTTCCCATAGACAGATGGACCATCCTTCCTGCTCCCGGCTTCTTAGCAGTGTCTGACTAGGTAGTCAGCTCTCGGGCTTGCTCTGGAATCCAGAAAGAGAGGATGGCAGCTGGTCAGAGAGCCCCAGTGCAGCTTCAGTGGAGAGGGTGGCTGCTGGGAAGCCTCCGTCTGGCAGCCTCTGTCTCATCTGCATTTGTATCATGGTATCCTATTCACATAGTGCTGACTCAGCCTTCAGACATTCAAGGACCAGAGAGAAGGCTAAGAGGCTAAAGGTACTTTGTTACAAAGTCCAACATCTTCCATGCCTGGGACTTACATGACAGAAGGAGAGAACCAACTCCTGCATATAGACACACACACACACACACACACACACACACACGCTGAAAGTGTAAACAATGTTCAAGACAAAGATCATCCTTCTGTCTAGGGACTTAAACTTTCTGAATGTCAAGGAAAGTGTGTAAGTCATTTTTCTCTAACATTTCTGCCTGTTCTCTGGCTACCTGGAGACCCTCCTTAGTGGTTAGTGATCAGGAATACTCTAGGAAGACCTCAGGACTAGTAGCCCTAATACTTGTAATGGCCGAAGATGTGACCTGAGTGAGACATCAGGAAGGAAGCAGCAGTGTTAAGCAAAGGTGGCTGGTGTGGCTAGCATTAGGAGAACCAGAGGATCTTGGTTTAGGAAGGTACCTATTTCCTGGAGCCCTTGAGTCCTGAAAGCAGTATGTCAGAGAGAATGTCTTCATACTCAACAGAAAGAGAAACTGAGGCAAGAGACTAAGTATAAGAGACACTAGGGAGTCTATCTGGTTTCTTCAGGATGGACATAGGCACTGGATGCTTGGCCATGTCACCATCAATCATATTCTCTCTCTCTCTCTCTCTCTCTCTCTCTCTCTCTCTATCTCTCTCAACATTTGGAAGGTTTAGATTGGGCCTGACTTCTAGGAGGTGGGGATTCAGGGCCTTAGTGTGATGTCTTTGACCTGCTTGAGCTCAGATGGGATAGTTTTGACTGCAGCTCCTTGCCTTGGGGGAGAAGACTTCCCCTCATCCTACCTCCTGCTCTGATTGGTCAGGCCACTGGCTTCCTGAGTTCCTCAGCCAGCTGAGAGGACCAAGCCAAGCTATTCCTTCACTATCCTGAGGGGAAGCCACTTGTGGGATAGGAATCTGGACCACAGAAAGGGAGCAAGCAAATAGATATTTCCAATCCTCCGGGATGGGAGGGCCGGCCCCACAGAATTCACAGCCAAGTCTTCTCAGTGTCCTAAAGGGGAAACTGAGGACCAGAATTTGCTTAAGGCTGCATGTTGAATCAAGAACAGAGAGGACTTGTAGTGGGTTCAAAAAATAACCACTCTTCCGTTCCTACAACCCCCATCTAGTGCGGGGCCTAGCTCAGCACAGCAGTCCATGACAGCCCAGCTCCTGCTCTGTCCCTTTCTAGCGACATGCTTCCTTAAAGGCTCAGTTTTCAATGATGAAGTTCAGAGATGAGAAGTCACAGGGTTGGCCGACATCAGAGGCAGAACTAGAGCCCAGGCCTTTCTCCCCAAGCTGACCTGATACCCATGGACAAGAAGACCACTTTCCTTTGGTTCTCCTTCTGAGTCCCATTTCACACTCATTGCCTGGCTTGCTTTACATTGGTTTGCATGCCTGCTCTTTTTAGGTTACGGGTCTCCCATCCATCTTGCAGGGGAAGGGTGGGATCCACACACCCAGTTAGCTGAGAAGAGAGTAGGACACAGCTTGGTGGGGTGCACACTGGACATCTGGATGTATGACAGCTGGACCAGCTCCAACGAGGTCTCCTGACCTTCACACCTTCATCACTGACACCTCTGGGACTCAGAACGTTCCCGCTGCTGGGACCTCTACAGGAGGGGCCTTGGTGGCTTTCCTTCTTCTCACCGAGTCTCATTTGGAATCACGCCAGGTTCTAGCCATTTCTCATACCCAAGGTGCCAGCTACTTCTCAAGGGAGGCTCCAGCCAGCAGGTGAGAGTTCCAGGGACCCAGGAGCAGGGCGCCCAGCCTGGACCCACATCTTGAATTCTAACGTGACATACAGAGGAATCAGCCAAGGACCTTTCTCCTACAGGACAGAAAAGACCCCAGACTAAGATGGGGGAGAAAGGCTGGGGGTGGAGAAGGAAGAACTGAGGGCCTGAGAGCAGATAAATAGGAAGCAGGGAATAGATGGGGTGTTGACGCAGTTTCTCCTTCTCCGGCAAGGATGACCTTAAAAGTCCAAGGGGTGCTACGGAAAGGGACTGAATAGACCCTGAACGCTGAGTTTGGCTGCTTGGGATTCTATGGAAGGGGGCAAAGCCACCTTTATTCTGACTCCAGCTGCCTCTGTTTCTTAATTGTGTCTATAAGCCATTTATCCCAACAGGCTGAGTGGTCTCCCCACAAGGGCACAGAGGCAGAGGGAAGAGGGTACACTTAGCCAGGAAGGGAAGTGTGCATCCCAGCTGCTGGCAGACACAGTGGGGGCAGGCTGTGGTCATGCCGGTCAGACTGCTCTCCTTCCGCCCAAGGCAAAACACTAGGCCTGGCTGGCAGAGGCGGCTATCGATCCAGTGGAGGTCAGCTGTGCAGGCGACGAATTTCCCGAGGTAATGAGATCTTTACTCCGGAAGATAGTCAAGCACAGCTTGGAGGTGTTGTCAAGAAGGTTCAAGTGTTGGGTAGTACCATTAGGTAACCTTTAGGACTACTGACAACAATCCTCCCAGTCCTTATTTTAGGACTCACAGGAGAGAAGCAGGATTAACCCTTGCTTGCTGGGAGATAAATAAGACTGATGTCGATCCCTTCGTCATTCTATTTAGTCATGGTCTTCCCTGGGCCTCCTTTGTACCCCACTTTTTACACTGACTTATTTTTTGTTCATTTGCATGTGTGTGTGTGCATGTGGAGGTCAGAGGGTAACTTGCAGGAGTTGGTTCTCTCCCTCCACCATGTGGGTCCTGGGGACTGAACTCAGATTGTCAGGCTTGGCCACAGGCACCCCCGGAGCCGTCTCACCGGCCCTACCTATATTCCCTGCTCACATCTTCTTCACACGAAGTGGTGGGGGTGGGAGTGTTGGCACAGCCCACGTAGACTGAGAAAAGAGGCTGGAAGACGGGGAGAAATGTGAGACCTGGCGCCCTGTGGAGTGTCTTTCCAAAGACAAGCCAAGTTTAACTTGCTCCCTTTGGCCTGCCAGCCAGGGCTGTGGATTCCCCTGTCTTTACAGATAAGACCATTCATAAAAGATGAAAGTCCTCGCCCCTCCCCTGGGGGCCTTTCTTTACTTCTTACCTCTCTGGCTCTGCCAGTCTGCCACTTCCCTACTGCTGTCCCTCTCCACTGCAGCTGGCCCTGTTGGTAGGACAAGGGATTAGCTTTCATGTCCTACCTGACTGGGCTTGAATGACAGTGGGCTAGACCTTAGGGGCAGCCACTATTTATTAAATAGCTGTCGTGTCTGGCACTGAGCGAGGCGTTCTGTGTCAGTCTAGCTAAGCATAAAGGCGCATCCCAAATGCTCATTCCTTTTGCATGCAGGTGAGGAAACAAAGTTCTGCTGCAGTAGGCATATGTACAAATGAGGCGATACGGCTAGGAAAAACCAGGGCCACGCGAAGCGAAGCCAACGCCATCACTTTACGTCCATGAGGACAGGGGAGTGGCTTTCCGCAGTCCAAAGACTTAGGGGCAGGTGGAGGAAGGGTGAGTGGAGCCAACTCCAAAATGGTCACAGGTGATGTAGGGGTCAAATGGAGCAGGGGCAAAGCTTTCCTAAAGCCCTCTGATGTCCCATTTGGGGCTGGCGCTCTGCCTCCCTGGCTCTCTGTGTACAGTGGCGGCCTCTGCTGGCCACCTTCTCCCCACCTTCTCCCCTTGGCCACTAGCTCCTCCGGTCACTACTGCAAGCCTGTGAGCCTCCCTACCCTCCCTGCCTGAGCTCTCTCAGCCCTATGGCTTCTCCTCAGCCGGTCACACTAACTTCCTGAAGCTGCCTTCCACCCTCCCATGTGTCTCTTTTACTTCTCTTCTCCCCGTTCCTCCTCTCCACACCGCCCTCTCTTCCTCCCTGGCATACCTCCGCCCCCCTTACATGTCAGGATTGGAATATTTAGGGAGTCCAGCCTGGCACGCTACACAGTTTGGTATTTGGTGCCCATTTGAGGGGCAGGACAGGGTCCTGTTTCAGAAGCACGTGTAGCCACTTAGCTAATAGGACAGTTTTCTGACAGACAGCGGCTGTAATGGATAACAAACCTTCCCCAAACCTCTGGATCACATGCCTCTTGAGCCCTAGTCAAGATAAGTCGGATAAGAGAGCAGAGTACTTGGTGACCCAGGGAGCAGAGTTAAACATAGCTCTAGGGTGTTGGTTAGGGTGGCTAAGATTCTGCCCAGGGGCTTCAGTTCCCACCCCAGTGTAGTTCCCAAGAAAGAGATGCCCAGGACTCACCCGTCTCTGAGCTGCTCCTAGAAGTGGGCACACACCCCTCTCCAGCTTGGGATTGTCCGACCAGGAGAGACAAGCTCGGGATGGTTCGCCTCCCTCCTCCCTGTGCCCTCCTCCTTCCAATGAGCTCATCTGTCTGGGGCTCCCCATCCCCCTTTGCCTGAGAGGGTATTTGGACAGAACCTGGCAGAAAGTGAGGAAAGAAGGGATGGAGGGAGTGTCTGCTTA